AATTGATGAACATTTGTTGGACTTAGACTTTGTTAAAAGCCTTAGTGAATCAACTTTATATGTCAAAGGTGATCAAGCGAACTTAATTGTGATCTTCTTGTATGTTGATGATCTTCTAGTTACAGGTAACAACACTGAACTTATCCAGCAGTTCAAAGAAGACATGATACAAGTCTCTGAGATGACTGACCTGGGAGAAATGTCTTACTTCCTTGGAATGGAGATTAAACAGGAAGAGAATAAAATTTTCATCTATCAAAGGAAGTATGCAAAGGAAATACTAAAAAAATTTAACATAGGGAATTGTAAAAGCATGAGTACTCTAATGTGTCAAAAGGAAAAGCTGTGCAAGGATGATGGAGCCAAATAAGCAGATGAAACTCTCTACAGAAGTTTAATGGGCTGCTTAATGTATCTCACAACAACAAGACCAAATATCTTGCATGTTGTAAGTGTACTATCAAGGTTCATGAATTGTGCAAGTGAAAGTCATTTTAAAGCAGTAAAAAGAGTTCTAAGGTATGTCAAGGGGAACTTAAGTTATGGAATCAAGTTCAGTACATATCAGAGTTTCAAGCTGCGGGGTTACTGTGACAGTGATTGGGCAGGATCTTTAGATGACATGAAAAGTACATCAGGATATTGTTTCAGCTTTGGACCAGATGTGTTCTCTTGGTGTTCGAAAAAACAAGAAATTGTTGCAAAATCAACAGCTGAAGCATAGTTTATACCAGCCACAGCTGTTGTTAATCAGGTCTTATGGCTAAGAAAAGTTCTAATTGATTTACACTTGTGGCAAAGGATGAGCACAGAGGTGATGGTGGACAACCAAGTAGCCATAGCCATCTCCAACAGTCCAATTTTTCATGGAAAAACATAGCATTTCAGTATAAAGTTGTTTTTTCTCAGAGATGTTCAAAAAGATGGTGCAGTGTGTTTGAAGTATTGCAAGACTGAAAACCAGGTAGCAAATATCTTCACTTAAGCTCTTCCTAGAAGCAGGTTTGAGTTTCTAAAAGAGAAACTTGGAATCTCGAGCCACTGATACAAGGAGGAGTGTTGAATGTGTGCATCATTAGCTACAGGGTTGTTGATATGGATGCTGACATGGCTAGCAGAGGTGGTTGCACATGTAAAACTGAGGCTGCAAGCTCAGGTTTGAATGTCAAGTGTCTTTAAGATCAGATTTTAAGGGTTGCTACTGACATTCAATGCATTATATAATCTTTGACCAAGTTTTAGGAGATTTGTTTTGATTCTCTGTTATCTACTGGTTGTTAATGTTAGTAGCTAAAGTTTAGGACATTTGTTGCTTTTATTTATGGTTTTCAGTTGCAAACTCATGTATTTAAACAGATCAGTCTTTAATAAAAATAATAACCTTCTCCCATTTTCTTTTGTTCTGTATATGCTCTCTTTCTCTTGTTCTTAGTTAAGTTTAACTAAGCTACAATTACAACAGATATGGATCAAAATCTTGCGAATCATCCTTGAGACAAAAGGGTTTGGGACGAATTGTCATTAGACGGCATAAATAACACTAGAGGAAGAGGGTGGTGTGAATAGATTGATATATTCCCTACCTAGCCTCATGACTTGCGGGATACAATTCAATTTTCTTTGTATTCTAGTCTACTTAATTTCTATGAGCTACTTTAAGTTTTTAGATTAGTTTGAGAATTTCCTTGTATAGTTTCCAGGCATGCATCAAGCAGCGATGTTTGATTGTATTTTGTACTCCTTTATCCCAGCTAAAAAAAAAAAAAACAGCTGTCACTCAAAATTGGATATCTGCAACTCTCTCTCTCTCTCTCTCTCTCTCTCTCATATTACTAACATCTACAGCAATGTGGAAGACCTGAAGCTGTAAGGGCAGCATCAAAAAGCTCCCGAGGCTGAGGCGGGTGGATTTAAAACACATTGTAGCCACCGTCTCGTCGGACCAGGGTGCACCGAGGTATGCGAAGTCTTAGGTATCTCCACATACAAGAATGAATGACTTTGATACCAATTGTAGTATCCCAAACCGGACATTATATAATATTGTCAATTTTGGGCTAGGTTCCCAATGCTTTAATGCTCAAAGTACAATAGAAGGTCTGAAGCTCACACTAAGGTGTTAATCGACACCCACTTCCCCAAGCGATGGTAATTCGGTCATCACAAAACAGAGCGTGTCAAGGCATGGGATTCAATCACTGAGAACCAAATAAGCTAATTTTTTATGGGCTGGCTGCCAACAACAATGAACCAACCTTGTAAAATAGGCTTTTTTAGTAGGCTTGTTAATGAATTAAATTTTGATTTGAATCTAAATTCGATTAGTCAGATATGAATCAATGTTCTTTTATTGGTAATCCGAACCCGAATTCGATATCTTATATTTCACATACTTGGATTAAATATACTTATATTCGATCCAATCCGAATTATTTATACAGTTCTATATAAATATCAAAAAAAATTAGTTAATTACATTATTGGGATCAATTCGGATGTTCATATTGGAATCTGAATTGTTAATGAATTCGAATATGAACCATGAAAATAAAATCTTATAGATTCCTGGATCAAACTTTTGAAAATAAATTTAAATTCAAATCAATTAAAATCCGATTCAAACTGAATCCATTGACCGGCCNCTGTTCTATCAAATAAAACAATGGGCTCCCCCTGAATAATCTATTCAGACCAATCTTGACAAAATGGCTAACACTGAGCATGACAGGAGGAGATGGGTCCATAAAGAAGACATAATAGCAAGAAAAGAAAAGAAAAGAAAAGAAAAGAATCTAATCAAGTAAGGTCATTGGTGATTGCCACATAAGAAAATAATACAAGCTTCAGATAGTAGTAAGAAAAGAAAAGAATCTAATCAAGTAAGGTCATTGGTGATTGCCACATAATAAACATAAGATAATAATACAAGCTTCAGTCTTAACATCATCATACTCATCACCAACACTAATTTTCAAAGCCAGCAATTCTGAACAATACCCACATCAATCATTTAATATTTCCTAAAAAAAATTAATCTAATTTATAAGACAATTTCTATCAATATCTCAGCTTCTCATTTCCTCTACAAAGAGAGGTAGCAGACTGTAGAACCAAGAAATTGAAAAGGAAAGAATCTACTCGACTAAGGTCATTGGTGATTGTCATATCATAACCTAAGATAATACAAGGCTTCAGTCTACCATCATCCTCGTCACCAACACCAATTTTCAAAGCCAAAAATTGTGAACAATACCCCCACAGCAATCACCTAATTTTCATTGGACAAAATTTCTACAAATGTCTCAGCCATTCAATCTCTCTACAAAAGAGACTATCAGACTGTAGCAAAAAGNACTGTTGGACAAAATTTCTACAAATGTCTCAGCCATTCAATCTCTCTACAAAAGAGACTATCAGACTGTAGCAAAAAGAAAAGAAAAATAAACACTAAAACAGATTCAATCATAAAAAAATTTACAAGCACCATCTTCTTGTATGTAGTCTAAACTCACTTCTCTTTGGCTGATCAATCAATACCCAAATGCAGAAAATTGATAAGATAGGATATTATCCTACTAATGGTACAAAGAGAAGTATCAGTAACAGGTCCCATAAATCTCATCAGACTCTATAGTTTCAATTCCTTCCTCCAACATCATCTCCTTGTACCGGCATTCACTGCTGCAAAAAGCTTTTTCTCCCCTGGAAGAACAGAAGAAGAGTTAAATGGGAAATTAAGAAACTGNCAAAGGATGAGCACAGAGGTGATGGTGGACAACCAAGTAGCCATAGCCATCTCCAACAGTCCAGTTTTTCATGGAAAAACATAGCATTTCAGTATAAAGTTGTTTTTTCTCAGAGATGTTCAAAAAGATGGTGCAGTGTGTTTGAAGTATTGCAAGACTGAAAACCAGGTAGCAAATATCTTCACTAAAGCTCTTCCTAGAAGCAGGTTTGAGTTTCTAAAAGAGAAACTTGGAATCTCGAGCCACTGATACAAGGAGGAGTGTTGAATGTGTGCATCATTAGCTACAGGGTTGTTGATATGGATGCTGACATGGCTAGCAGAGGTGGTTGCACATGTAAAACTGAGGCTGCAAGCTCAGGTTTGAATGTCAAGTGTCTTTAAGATCAGATTTTAAGGGTTGCTACTGACATTCAATGCATTATATAATCTTTGACCAAGTTTTAGGAGATTTGTTTTGATTCTCTGTTATCTACTGGTTGTTAATGTTAGTAGCTAAAGTTTAGGACGTTTGTTGCTTTTATTTATGGTTTTCAGTTGCAAACTCATGTATTTAAACAGATCAGTCTTTAATAAAAATAATAACCTTCTCCCATTTTCTTTTGTTCTGTATATGCTCTCTTTCTCTTGTTCTTAGTTAAGTTTAACTAAGCTACAATTNCTTCACTCAACTCATTCACAATCAACCATGTATAACAAGTCCAATGTCAAGTTGGGTTTGTGTCGTAGTAAGTGGACTTGTTTCACTTTTAGTCGAGTTCATGTTTACTCCTTTATTTGACGGATCTANCCCTCACTCAACTCATTCACAATCAACCATGTATAACAAGTCCAATGTCAAGTTGGGTTTGTGTCGTAGTAAGTGGACTTGTTTCACTTTTAGTCGAGTTCATGTTTACTCCTTTATTTGACGGATCTAATAGACCCATCCATTGGATGGACTCTAGTTAAACTCAATCCTGTTAAATCTATATCAACTGTGTCAGGTGTACAGTGGTGCCTAGAATTCATCATGTCTATATGGAACAGGCATTAGTTCACTAAGCCCTGACAAATAGATACATACAGTACAAATATATAAAATCAAGAACCAAGAATGGTTGGTTCAAATTCCATGTGGAAAGTCGTAGCTGCTCCAATTAATTGAACCTTCTTAAAGATTATTAGGATTCAGGAATTGTTCAACATCTCAAAAAGTCAACAAATTGAGTAATCATGTATCAGATCAAAAAAATTATAAGCATGCCAAAAACAATTAATGAAAATTGAGAGCTAACCTGTACATGTAAATGTCTTTTCCTTGCCCAAGATTTTTCTTGCAATTGTAACAGAAGCTAAGAAAACTCTCAGAAGGATAGCTCATTGATCGATTGCCCAAAAACCCATTTTCCTTCTTTGATCCAGAGAACCCAACAACTCCACAGCAGCTCTCCACAATGCAATCATCAAATATATGGGTAGTCTTAGGGTTCGGACCATGGGAAATCACACAAGTATAATCTTCAGAAAGCTCCATGTCAATAGCAGAGAGACCCCCAGAAAAAACCTGTGAAGGACTCGAGTTTTCAATGCCTGAATTCGAAGACCCAAATGGGGATTTCTTCACAGAACAAGGGGATAATCCAGGTGAAAACGAACCCAGAAGGGAATTTCTCGTTTTGATACCAAAATCACCAGATGATTTTGGTGAATCAGTAGGGTTGAGAACAGAAGGAGGCAGGGGAGGGATTTGAATCTTTAATTGGGAACCAAACACAATCATTCGGCTTTCGGGTTTTGATAGTTTTGGGTCAGATTTTTCATCTGTGAGCACATCAACTAGACCAAGACCAACCCCTCTTGAATCCAATTTATCAAAATGGCTTTTACTCTCAGGTTTTGGGGATTTGGGGGTGTGAATGTCAGGCCAAAAGGGGTTTTTGAAAGCAGAGAATGGTTTAGTATCAAGTGTCGAAGTTGGACTCATCACAACAGATTCAGTGTCAGTGAAAGCCTTTGAAGTGAAATTAGTGAACAACCTTGGAGAACTGAAGAAAGATGGAGTGGGTTTTCTGGGCTTGTCTGTTGGAGATTGTACAGAGCCATAGTCCGCCATTAGAGCTTGCTTACTGGTGCTTGCTCTAGATCTCTTCCTCAGCATAACTCCCTATTCAAACCAACAAAATCTAAACTTACTAAACAGAAACAAAAAACTAAACAGCCAAAAACCCCACAGAGAGAGAGAGAGAGATAGAGAGAGAGACTACACACCTGAGATGATCTGGGATTTCAGCCAGAACAGCCTTGGTTTGATATGGGTTAGAGCAAGACTGTCTTGAAGCACCAAAACACGGTAGAAAGATTGGTCTCGGAGAATGATCGATTAATAAATGGTGGTGAATCCTAGGCCACCATTGTTGACAAACCCAGAAACCAGAAAACTCAGAACAGACTCCATGAACTCTTTCTCTCTCTCATCTAAACCCCTGTGAGTTTCATTTCTAAGAAAATAAAGCTCCCAACTTTTTCCCCGACTTTCTCGTTCTTTCTCTCTATTTTCTCAGCAAGAATCCCTCAGCTCTCAGAACGGGACATGCAAACAAACCTCAGTAGTCATCATCAATACCAGACAAAATTACATACAAACAAAAATATCAAAAAATGCTTCTAAATTTTTCCTGTCCTTTTTCTTTTTTCAGATGCTTTTCACTCTTTTGTGTCTTTTACTGGTATTATTTCAACAAAAANTACCAGACAAAATTACATACAAACAAAAATAACAAAAAATGCTTCTAAATTTTTCCTGTCCTTTTTCTTTTTCAGATGCTTTTCACTCTTTTGTGTCTTTTACTGGTATTATTTCAACAAAAACGGTATATTTATCACCAAAAAGCTTCAAAACTTTGCATGTAGACAACAACCATAAATCCATGGAGTTTCATAGACACAGATAGGGGAGAGAGAGAGGCGGCCAGTTTGAGGTGGGTTTCTGGGTTGATTTTAAAGACTGATGATCTCTCTCTATTCCAGTATACCATGTCCTAAAATGGCAGTTTTTTCATGGCGGTTTTTGCCAGAAACTACAGAGAATCTCTCTCTCCAAGTTCACTCAGTCTTTCTCTCTATACTCCTACACTAGTCTGCTATCTGCAGAGCTTTGCTCTTTCTTTCTGTATCACTCGTNCCTCACTCAACTCATTCACAATCAACCATGTATAACAAGTCCAATGTCAAGTTGGGTTTGTGTCGTAGTAACTCATATTTAGAGGACTTGTTTCACTTTTAGTCGAGTTCATGTTTACTCCTTTATTTGACGGATCTAANTGCTCCTACACTAGTCTGCTATCTGCAGAGCTTTGCTCTTTCTTTCTGTAATCACTCGCCGTCACTGGGTGCGAATATAAGAACACACACACACACACACACACACACACACGTAGGGTGACGCTATAGCTGGTTTAATTCGCCGAGTCGTACACTTCTTTACCGCAACAGTACAATCTTACGTAAGCTCTGGACTAGCCATCGACCCGCCCATGAGCTCCGGCTCGCAATTTCTCTATAAAAATACTCATATGACAATTGAATCCAATGTGTTGGAAGCTCCTCCTTTCTTTCTCCCTCTCCATGTAATAATGTCTCATTGAAAAATAATTCAACAATTTAAAAAAAGAAAATTTTCATTTTTTCCCAAAATGATCANTACTCCTACACTAGTCTGCTATCTGCAGAGCTTTGCTCTTTCTTTCTGTATCACTCGTCGTCACTGGGTGCGAATATAAGAACACACACACACACGTAGGGTGACGCTATAGCTGGTTTAATTCGCCGAGTCGTACACTTCTTTACCGCAACAGTACAATCTTACGTAAGCTCTGGACTAGCCATCGACCCGCCCATGAGCTCCGGCTCGCAATTTCTCTATAAAAATACTCATATGACAATTGAATCCAATGTGTTGGAAGCTCCTCCTTTCTTTCTCCCTCTCCATGTAATAATGTCTCATTGAAAAATAATTCAACAATTTAAAAAAAGAAAATTTTCATTTTTTCCCAAAATGATCAAAAATTCATTCTAAAGTTTTATTTTATAGTGGCATAACATTATATTAATTGCTTGGATTCAAATTTTTTTGTTTTTTTTTCAAATTCAATTAGCGGATTATCAAATATTAACAAGTGAAAAGCCCGCCTAAATTCCTAGTAGATGATTAACTAATAAAGAAATTAAAGAAAAAAATATATTCGAAAGAATCTCAATTCTAATTACTTAAATATGTTTTTTTCGTATTACTAATGAACAACATTTGTATGCAAACCTCTTTGTGTAAGTATGTTAAAATAAAATTTTCTTTTTTAAAAAATGATGTTTGCACATTTATGAAAAAACTCGATAATAATTATAGTTCTATAAATCAACAACCACTTTCATATGATAGTTCACTTGAAAAACACAATTAACTATGATTTNGGGGCATAACATTATATTAATTGCTTGGATTCAAATTTTTTTTGTTTTTTTTTCAAATTCAATTAGCGGATTATCAAATATTAACAACTGAAAAGCCCGCCTAAATTCCTAGTAGATGATTAACTAATAAAGAAATTAAAGAGAAAAATATATTTGAAAGAATCTCAATTCTAATTACTTAAATATGTTTTTTTCGTATTACTAATGAACAACATTTGTATGCAAACCTCTTTGTGTAAGTATGTTAAAATAAAATTTTCTTTTTTAAAAAATGATGTTTGCACATTTATGAAAAAACTCGATAATAATTATAGTTCTATAAATCAACAACCACTTTCATATGATAGTTCACTTGAAAAACACAATTAACTATGATTTTAATGGGTTTATTTCAATTAAGTTATGGCTTGAGTCCTCCTTTAGAAGTGCTTGTAATTTTTGCCTTCTAAGCCCCATTGGTAAGTTTTTTTCATAAGTTTGGGCTACTTTGATCACGCTCAGACAGGAGATCCTCTACAGTTGTCCACTCGAATCATTTTTTATGAAAATAAAATTAGTAACCCAATTTANACTCCTTCTTTAGAAGTGCTTGTAATTTTTGCCTTCTAAGCCCCATTGGTAAGTTTTTTTCATAAGTTTGGGCTATTTTGATCACGCTCGGACAGGAGATCCTCTACAGTTGTCCACTCGAATCATTTTTTATGAAAATAAAATTAGTAACCCAATTTATGATTCTATAACTTCACATTAGTAAATCTTAAATCTAGTCAAATAAAAAACTCATTACAACATGCTTAAGGCTCATATAAAGATTCATCAGGTAAATTTCTACCCAAGCTTACATAACGGATCTAAGTGATCTCACTCCGACCTATTAACTTATTAATCGAGCAACCTCATCTGTACACAAACCATGGATTGATGGGTTTGATCAACCNTTATCAGGTAAAATTCTACCCAAGCTTACATAACGGATCTAAGTGATCTCACTCCGACCCGTTAATTTATTAATCGAGCAACCTCATCTGTACACAAACCATGGATTGATGGGTTTGATCAACCCATTGGACACCATCAAGTAAATTTGAGGGTTTAATTCATTGTTATTGTATCAAAGAGGTAAGAAGTAGAAAAAAAAAGGTGGTACTACCTAAGATTGAGATATTGGTGACATTAGCTATGCAATGAGTAAGCAATAAATGTTTTTAGTGAAACTGCCAAAATTTGAGAGCTTACAAACAATAGAGCAAGTGAGAATTCAAGTTCAGCTGACCTGTANTTGGTGACATTAGCTATGCAATGAGTAAGCAATAAATGTTTCTAGTGAAACTGCCAAGATTTGAGAGCTTACAAACAATAGAGCAAGTGAGAATTCAAGTTCAGCTGACCTGTAAATGAATCGGCTGCCATTTTAGCTTGGCTTAACCTCAACTTTACTAGGCTGCTATGTACAAGTACTAACCTCAACTTTACTAGGTTACTATATATAAGTACCAACCTCAACTTTTCTAAGTTACTATATATACATGTACTAATTAACCTTACTCCAGTCAGGAAATGATGACAGGNTGCTATGTACAAGTACTAACCTCAACTTTACTAGGTTACTATATATAAGTACCAACCTCAACTTTTCTAGGTTACTATATATACATGTACTAATTAACCTTACTCCAGTCAGGAAATGATGACAGGGGGACCCACTGAGTGAGGGCAATCTATGATGGAGTTATTGACATTGTGGGGACCAGCTAACTGGTCCAAAATAAGAATTATTAATTACTATTTTTGTCATCTTGTACTTTTTAGACAGTATAATTCTATGTTTACCAAATATATTTATCAAATCGTTCTTATTAAATAATGTAACATAATTTTTGTCATTAAATATTAATAAAATTTATTTATTTGATGATAAAAAAATTATGTCACATATTTTTAGATAGAGTTTTAATAAGAAAATTTTATAAATATAGCATTACCTTAATTCTATATGCACTAAATTTGTACACTAAAATTTNTGACATAATTTTTGTCATTAAATATTAATAAAATTTATTTATTTGATGATTAAAAAATTATGTCACATATTTTTAGATAGAGTTTTAATAAAAAAATTTTATAAATATAGCATTACCTTAATTCTATATGCACTAAATTTGTACACTAAAATTTATATTAAATTAATTATAATCGTTGAATCAGTGATAAAATCCACTAATTCAACAATTACAAATGATTTTATACAAGTTTTGAGATATATTTTTTATGCACATAACATTACTCTTCGGAAGAATACTTCGAAATATTTTTATAATTTTTATTTTGTATTCTTAAAGTTAAAATTTTTTATATTATATTTTTAATATATTAAAATTATTATAATATAACTCTGTCGTTAATTTTTTTTGTTAATTCTATCAAAAAACAATCGTATTAAAGTCGAAGCGTGAAGNTCGAAATATTTTTATAATTTTTATTTTGTATTCTTAAAGTTAAAATTTTTTATATTATATTTTTGATATATTAAAATTATTATAATATAACTCTGTCGTTAATTTTTTTTGTTAATTCTATCAAAAAACAATCGTATTAAAGTCGAAGCGTGAAGACGACCTTACTTGAACAGGATTTGTTTCGTAGGCTCATACCTACGAATCCTTATGTTCTAAGTTGAAGCTTGAGGGAATGTGCAACAAAAATTAACAACAAAGGTCACGATTTAATATTTTTAATCCATTAAGATTTTAATATGAAAATATTAATATTTAAGAGTAAAAATTAAGAATTCTTAAAATTTTTTTGGTACAAAATATAATTCGCAGTTTGCTTTTGCTATCCCTAGTAAAATATTGTTAATTTATATATAAAAAAAATTATTTATTATTTTAAATATATATAATTAAAATTGTGCTTTATAAATAAAATTAATNGACTCATACCTACGAATCCTTATGTTCTAAGTTGAAGTTTGAGGGAATGTGCAAC